GCTATGCTGTGTTTTTCATCACTTTAAAACCTGTTTTTCAAGACAATGCAGTTCCTTTATTTGCCACTAGGTGGAAGTATTTCATCATGACTATTATTGCACTAGGCCTATATAGCCACCAGTTGCTTTTAGCTCGTAGGATTTACAGTTTTTGTTGCTACCAGTACAAATAGTTTCTTCATTTTAAAAACACATTAAGTCATTAATTTATTAATATTTTTCAACAATGATCTAACCATTGGCTTTTATGTCTAGTAAGTTTATGAATCAATCTTAGGTTTGTGAATCTCTAATATTCGCATGCATATTACATTCAATAAACCTATTAATTGTTTGTACACTTAATGTTTATTCAAATGTGTAAATATGAACTGCTCTCCCATTGACCTTGGCAGATCACTAGCCTGTGTGTATATGACATCATAGCATGAATAATGGCGCTGTCTCTCTCTGGATTGCAGTCTTTCTTATCTAGAAATAAAACAAAAAACAAAAAAACGCTCACACAGATATCTTACATTTTTTCCATAGAGCATCAGGGTTACTTATTGAGTGTAATGCTTAGTTTCCATTTTGATCATCACATTCTCTGAAGTTTTTATTTATTTTTTAATTTTTTTTATTTTCAAGGCTGCAGAAATACCAAGGTTTCTGAGTTTTTGCTGACCAACATCTCTCCATAGCATCAAAGTTGATCTTTATGCCAGATAAAGAGAAGCTCACAGATCATATTGTAGTACACTAGCAGATGACTGCAGCCATATAACTCTTAGAAACCCAGGGCTTAAATGCGTTATTCCATAAAATCTTGGGTTATGGCTGCAGATTCATGGGGCTGAGAATAAGAGGGCATATCAGTTCAGTTGCTAAGAAACCAGTGTGAGATAGACAACAGTGCAAGGAGGGTCTGGGCTGGGCTGGAGAGAGAGAGGGAGAGAGAGAGAGAGAGGTGGTGGTGGTGGGGGGGGATCGTGCCACAAGCTTACCGTGTTTCATCATTCTCCTCAAGGCCAAAGCTAAGAATCAACAGTGATGATATTTCCACAGTTTGTTATGGTCCACAGATGATTATTGATTCAATTCACTTGTAATACTTTCTGTTTTGAAATTGCAGGTTTGCAGGATTGTCCAGCCTTGTCATTAGCAAACACACATGCATGCTACGCTCCTCTCATGTCCGAAGCATTACCATCTCAATAATGCTAAATATAGGATCCTTCATCTCGCCACATCAATTGGTCTGGCTCCAGCGACTGTCTGTCCATATGTGTTTCTGTGTCACACTGAAATCTGGACTCTGACCCATAGTGCACTAACTAACATTGTGTGTATTTTAGAGTGAATTGAAATGTCTTTTGCATTATTGACATTATCATTACCTTGTGGAGTGGAAAATAGAGACAGAAGTATATGCTGTAATTATCAATGCTGTGGTTACAAGCTGATCTGTGTGAGTTTCCTAGACAAAATAAACTGACTGGGATTTGTCAGCAAGGGGCATCCAGTGTTAAGCATATGTAGATTGCATACATCGAACAGATTGTTTTTATGGAAATCCCCCAATAAGATATATTAACAATAAGGGTGACTATAGGGGCTAATAATACTGACATAGGCCTACTAAAGAATAAGCCTACATAGCCAGCCAATGACATTATGAGTTTGTTTCACTGGCAAGAGAGAAAATACTTCATCAATAAGCCTATAATTTTATAATTTTATAATTTAGGCCCACTTTAAATCATGATGTCTACACAGATGTCCTGTTGCTATGGAGACCAAGGTAGTCGTAACAGGCAACAAACAGTTGTGTTGAAGATTCACTGAGCTCTGTGAAGTTTGCTTCTAACTGATGAGATTTAATAACTGTAGATAGGTGGTGGTAAAGATGATTTCCTCTCATTTTAAAAACATGTCCTTAACTCCAGTTAGTAATGCCTCATAAAATACATAAAAAGTATTAGTTTGGTTGAATGATTCTTTGTCATTATGGATTCTGTCCATGTAGGCTATTCCAGCATTCCAACCCTGCAAATGTAATGAAAAATGTCAGCGTCTCTAAAAATGCATGAATTTAACTGTTAAAAAGAGACGAAGATACATATATTCATAATTATCGCCAAAAAAAGCCTTGTTTAATGCCACATAAGGGCATGCTCTTTTATACCTGTCCAGTGAAGCCCCGTCCACAGCTGTCAACATCCTTCGGCAGTGATGAAAATGTGATGACATGCTTTACTCACAACACAAATCCTATATTTTACTACTACAGCACGTTGCACTTTAGCAGTATTGTGCTCCTTTTCATCAGTTTCTTAAGTTCATCCCAAGCCCATGAGCACCATTAATTTTGTGTTTTTGTATATCTACTGTATTCTGCTCTCTGAAAGAATCACAGAGGAAAACATGCATTCAGGCATACTCAAACAACCAAACTAGGTGCATGTATACTTAGTCATTCTTGCTAATAGTTAAAGGTGAATCATTTTTTAATTGAAGACAAAAGTTTTTAATTGTTAACATTCAAAAGCCCACCACAATTTTGTTTAAGTGTGTAAACATTGCATGGCCAGCGTACAGATACTAGAAACATTTTGTACAGTTGATGATAACTCCACTTAACCTCCACATATGTGGATACGGTTGCACTCAGAATAATGTTCTTAATTCAAATGCAAGAGTGTCCAAAACATCATGCCCTGTTAACATAGCAAGGGAAGAAGATTGAAAAGAACAAAACAAAACAAAATAAACAAAAAAAACTAACTGTTCTCTCAAAAAATCAGCAGTCATTTTTAAGCAGAAGGAACCAAGCTACAGCTAGGACTTTTTAACATACAAAACTGCTGGCAGTGCAAAATTAAGACATTTACTAAACTGAACATTATGAATAAGGTTAGAAAAAAATGAAAAACTGTGTTTATCTTGCCTCAATACTGTAGTTTTATTTATGCATTAGGAACAGTAAATATTGTACTGTTTGCAGACAATATGAATTTAGAGCATACTGGAGTTTTTTCTTGAAATTCAAGACAATATATACCCAAACAGAAACTTCAGCCACTTTCTTTGTTTTTTCTCCACTGATTTCTTCCCTGGTCATTCCTCCCCAATCACTGCTGCTAACCCTTAATTACCACAGATAACCCCTCTCCTCTCAACCCACAGCTCCATCCTCCTCCTACCACACCACAGACCCAGCAAGAGACATGCACAAACATTTCCTGCATAAATAAAGCCGAAATGCCAACCAATGTGATATTCATTCCAACTCAAAGCTCCCTTGAGATAATCAGATGATGTTATTCTGTCTCCTGTGAGTCTATTTTAAAACACTTGATGCACAGGAGTGTTAATGAGGAAGATGCACTTGGGTGATCACAGCCTTCGTCATTGCTTCTTTAAAACTCAACTCTCTTTCATAATAATGATGCATTAGTCTTTTTTCAGAGGTGCTTTGCAATTTTGTGCCTTTTTTCAGTTCATGCTCAGTGGTGGTAAGCACCCACTGGAGCAACAGTTCTTCTGGGGCAAACTGACAGAAGCAAGGCTGCTAACCTGCAGGACTGGCCCCTCTGACCACTACAAATTACTTGCTTGCACAGTGGTCTCCTATCAAAGTACTTGGTTTGGTCTTATTCTAATCCTAGTTTAGTCCTGTCCTATCTTTTTTACCATTTCAGTCCCAGTTTAGTTTGATGCAAATGTGAACACACCCTCAATACCTAATTTTCAAAAGGGAACTGTTCAGTGCAGTTATTTATTAAACTAAAAACACTGATAGGCTAATCTTTTTCACAATACTGCATTTCATTACTTTCATGCCCCATACTTACAATACCAGTATGAGTTATCTGCCTGTGTCATTGTGTTCAGATGAGCTGCTTCCACTGTGTGTGTTGTTGAATATCTTGTCCATGTGGGAATATGCACTCACTTTCAGGCAGCACACAGCAGCATGACGCCCCCTCACTATCATGCCTTACAATGGCAGGCTCTGAACTCTGTAATTAAGCCTGGGCGCTCATCGCTGTCCTCCCTAATGTCTCCTGATAGGGGCTTTCACAGGTGTCCACAGGTGATGAAGATCAAATTCAATAAACAAAGAAATACAATTTAAAAAGCCAGGTATGGTTCTGAAGCAATTAACCTTAGTTAGGTGCACTGCAAAATGTTAACGTTTTATTTAAAAAAAATAAAATTAAATAAAATCATCAGAAAGCAGAACTAAAAGTAAATATGTCACAGCCTGTTTCATATTTCACTCTTGTGTTGTGTTGTTGTCGTCTTTTGATTGCACTGTTGATCGGGGGATTGGCTAAATGTTAGAGGAGGTGTGTTGATGCAGTTTCATCTCCACTCCCGCTGAACACACTGTACTTCTCAATCAGCTGCAGACGCGTTATTATTCTCCTTTTCAATTACGCAGCGTCGGTAGCGGCTCACAGTGCGTTTTTCTGGAAAATCTAACGGGGATCGACAAAGTTTATTTTGCTGGGGATGTGCTTTGAATCTGACAGCGGACTGTAGTTTCGTGTAGCGATGGACGAGACTCTGTTCGCTCCAGGGACTGAGGATGGATAAACCCGTAACCTGTTGCTGCTTCGCGCTACACTAGTTGCTTTGGAGTGGCACAAAGTTGCATTTTTTTCTTATTTTGTGTTTCATTTTATTTCAACAGCGATGTTGATATATGCTTTAATTGTACAACTTTTGGATGGGGGTTTTACGCAAGGCGCACCAGAATGTTGACGGCATAGTTTGATACCTTCATAAAAGACTACGCTATTATCGCTATTATCATTTTGGACACGCTTTAAGTTGCCTAATTTGGAAAATCATCTTTGTTTATAGCCTAACGAACAACATGGACTAAAAGTGGAGTGGCTGTCCTGCGCGTATCACATCGAGGGCAGCACCGCGCCCTGCTTTTGGAGCCTACAGTCTGCTCTGACTTCTCTTACACTGGTGTGTTTTTCTCCGTGTGCTTTGTGTCGCAGAATGGCCCGGTTTGGAGACGACATCCCGGGCTTATTGAGCTCAGGAGATGGAGGATCTGAGCGCAACCGGAACCGCGATGGAGCGGCAGTGTCTACTGGTGGCATCTCCCCAGCCTTCAAACAGACCAAAGCGCAGCGAGCTCGCACCATGGCCCTTTACAACCCTATTCCGGTCCGGGAGAACTGTTTCACCGTCAACCGGTCTCTCTTCATCTTTGGTGAGGACAACATGGTCAGGAAGTACGCAAAGAAAATCATTGAGTGGCCATATCCTTTGGTGTAAAGAAGTCAGGTGTGTTGAACATAATCACATATCTTATATAATAATCTGGCCCAGGGTCATGTTTCGGAGATGGTGGGTAAAGAAGTTTAATGTCTGATAATAGCGGGTTCTTAAAATCAGCACCATGGACAGTGCCCGCAGTGCAGCGCAACAAGTGCCTAATGCGTGAGAAAAGAAAGCTGCTGCGGTTAATTGCATAAACAACTATAACAACTAGACCTATAGGAATGAGTTATGATTTATTTTATTATTATTATTATATTTATCACAAGGTCTGGTTTTAAACACTTTAATTACCGTTAAGAGTTTACACAGTACACTGTTGCTGTGTGTGTGTGTGTGTGTGTGTGTGTGTGTGTGTGTGTGTGTGTGTGTGTGTGTGTGTGTGTGTGTGCGTGTGTGCATGCGTGCGTGCGTGCGTGTGTGTGCCCACTGCTGTGCACCTCAGCAGGTGGGGCCCCTTTACTATTGTTCTCAGTTTGATTACTTCCTGTCAGTGTCACAGCTGCCAGATTCTTTCTGTGCTGTTGCCATTGTTAAACCCTGCACATTGTTGATGAGTCCATTTATCACTATGCTCTAAAACCTCATATATAAATATGCTTTCCCAATTCATAAATGTGACATTATTAATAATTAATACTGGTGGCTAAAGAGAAAGTCATGAAAAGGAATGACCTGCAGATTAATGTAGCCCAGTGTAGGGAGTGTCTTGTTACATGTAATGAGTTTGATGCATCAGATTAACAGATGTTTACAAGGGCTGTGTTTGATCATGTCTGACTGTAGTGTCTCATGTTATTGCTATAAGTCATTATTCTTCAGGTCATCTTATTATAATGTCCTCTCATCAGGTATTACAGATGAGGGGGCTGGGCAAGGCCTGGCTTTGGGTAAATATTCTGCAAATAATCCTACAGAAACATTTGAAATTGTTAATTAATTGACCATTTTAATTATGCATTGATAACACATTTCATTTTAATTCACATTGCCTCATCAGTTTGTGTGAAGAAAATCGCACTCTTCAAATCACATCCAGTTTCTTAAAGGTCAGTTCATGTGGAGCACCGTTTGCTGCTGTTACCTCACTGTAACAGACTCTTCTCTCTAAGTGCTAAAGCGGTAGATAAAATTAGTAGAAATTACTTAAGAGGCCCTTTTCGTTTGAACTCAATTGAACTAACTTGTGTTGTAATAGTGCATTGGTGATAGTAGTAAAAACAGATTTAGATATTACTGATACTGATAATGACATAGATCTTGCTGCAGTAGCCTATCCAGTGGTGGTCAGAGGAGGTTGAAAGCGTCCTGGCAGGGAGGAGATTGGTTAATGAACTCTGAGCTCAGGTCAAACTGAAGTGGTGCCTGGTGAGGACTGGCAGCTGCTCCTCCTCTCTGATCCCTACTGGGAACTCCCACAGCAGGAAGTTTCCTATTGAGAAGGTACACCACTAAATAATTGATACTTGGATTAAAACCTTTTTTCATCAAAACTATTTTTAGAGGTTGTTTAGCAAGCAGTTGGATGCTGGTTGATAGTCACTGTGTATAAAGGTTTAAAAATAATAAGGGCATAACAGTTAAAGTGCAGTGGATGGATTAAAGTGAATGGATAGATGGACTGTGTAACTTTTTGGCTGGGGGTCCATCACCTGCTTGTTTCTATGAATATGTTATTGCTGTGCCTGGAATATTCTGCAGTATGGCATTAAACATCTTTACCTTACATTTGTTCAATTACAGGTGGTTTTATAACTCAAAGTCACTAGAAAAACAGATATTCTGACTGTGAGCGGTGTTGCCTCTCCAAAGATCTGACCTGTAACTTGGTCTGGTTTGGTCTGCATGAAGGTAGAAAGGTTCTATACCATAATGTGAAACCTTCCAGACAAACCAATAACATTTCTATGGAGAAAAGCATTTGATGGACCCTCCACCAGAAAAATTACACAATGCATCTTTAAGTCTACTAATATTACAATGGCCTTATAATGCCTTATAATGTCATGTCCTGGCCAAAGGCTTTTTTTTATTCTAAATGTCTAGCTGTCTAATCTATAAAGCAGAATATATGTTCCATAAAGTTTAGGCTTCTATGACCCACACTCACTTTTATTGCATATTTGCCTTTTAGTACGCTGTAAACAGCACTCTGCAATCTCTGTACATCTTGACACAAATGTAGCATTAATATACTGACACTGATCCCTCTGTGTCCAAAAAGATAGTTTAACTTAATTATAGTTGTTTTAAAGAAAGTGTATGTAAGATTTTTATTTTAAATTTCATAAACATGACCTATCTGTGTCTCCAGATATGAGATTAAACACTGCAACTGAATCTGAATCCTCACTACCTCACCCCAGCAGCCAATCATTAATCAGTACTAGTGCAGCCTCTGCAGTTCAGTTATGGAATTCTGGAGGTTTTGAGCTTTCATATGAAGCATGGCCTGTCCATATACTGAGAATGAGAAAAACTTGTATGTGTTCCCTATATGCAGGTTTAGGCACTGGCAACCCAGGTTCAGTTTCAGTTCAGATTGTAATACTATTTTAATACTCAAACACAGGCACAGGTACAGTTCCTAAGCATGGTCTACATACGTCAGTACAGACAATAGTGTCACTGTTATTTTATATATAGAAACACTTGATTTTTACACACGAAGACTGACATAATGATGGTTCCTTTTCACCCCCAAATGCTCCAGTCTGTTTGGAGCATAATCACAGATTCACAGGGCATCACACTATCTATTTTTACCCTTGTTTGAGGCACACAGGCAGAGTGCCAGCATCAGTGTGAGTCACACGACTGCTCACGAGACACTTCTCAAAACTCAGCTCCACACGTCATGTGCCGGCTGACTGTTTAACACATGCTGCAAAAGATGCTACGAAATCACTTGTTGATTCCAACTTAGAACTGCTCGTGGTTCCCATCCTTTTTTGTCTTGAGTGCTGTACTTCCTGAGCATCATCTCACACTGACTACCCCCATATTTGTTTATTGACAATTTTAACTATTATAATTTCTTGTTTTAATAATCCTTATGCCAAATGTATAATTATTTTGTGCCATTAGAATCTTTAGGTATGATGTACCCCCTGGCAAGTGCTCATGTACCCCCGGACCCCCGGTTGTGAACTTTATGCTTTATGCCAATGTCTGTTTTCTGTGTTGCAAAGATTAGAAGGTTACAGCTTAGAGAAGTTATTCGTTTAATTTTGTTTCAGCTTCATGTTATAGAGCCATTTGAGGATGATTGACCATTCAAAAGATATCATATTTTACTTTGCCTTGTTAATTGCTATTGTAACATTTTATTCTGAGACTCATGAATATTTTAAGGTACATAGTGTAACTTTTCTGGTTGAGGTTCTGTCAAATACTTTTCTCCATGCAGATGATTGCTTTGTCTGGAATGTTTCACAGTATGGTATTAGACGTTTCTATCTCCATGAAGACCAAACCAGGTGAAATTACAGGTCAGATCTGTAAAGAGGCAACCCAACTCTTGCTAGGTATTTTTGAGTCATAATATAAAATTAATAAATGTAAAGTAGAGATGTTTAATGTCATACTGTGGAACATTCCAGGCAGAGCAATACAGACATATCCATAGAAACAAGCAGGTGACGGACCCCCAACCAAAAAGTTACATAGTACACCTTTAAGGCAGTAGGTGAACTTCATGATTATTTTTAACCCTTACCTGCGGGACTTTCTAGCTTGTTCCACTTTTAGGTCCAGGTTAAAACTCTTGCAAAGTTTGAGCAGAGATATATTTGCCGGTCTCAGCGCAGGATGTCCATGAAGTTGTCAGGCAGTCTGTGCCTGGAGGCTTTCACAACACCACCTCTGCAGAGCTGCCACATCACTAATCTCTGGTTAAAATTAGCCTCATATACCTTACTGACTTAGACCCTATACGTATGTCACCGCGGCGATACTTGAGCCGCTGGTAACCATCTCCAACAACCAACTTTGGGAGAGAATCTGGTTGCCGTGGATACTTCTCTTGTCTCCCTCTCTATCTTCATTTTAGGCTCCTCTGTTTTCAGAGCACTCTGTCTTCATCTTGTCCAGTTATTTGCTGTGCGCCTAAGGGTAATAGAGCATGTGGAGATTGGCTAGGGCAGCAGTATAATATGTCATTACGTAGAACACTTGGGTCATGAAATTTGTTAAAATTCAGTATAAAAATCTAGTTATATTGCTTCATCAACTAATTAAAAAAGATTTAACAAAAACATAATTGATGCTTGTAAAGTCATTAGTGAGTCATTATTTACAGTTAAGTATCATAAGCTATTGAATAAAACTACTACACAACTATCAAGCTAAAAAGATCAGAGTAACCTTTGTGCTTAGTTACTTTAGTGATGTCAGATTAAAGTTGGACTATGTAACTTTTCGGGACATGCCTGGAAAGCCTCTCAGTGTAGCATGAAATGTTTCTTACTGTATTACAGGTGTTTTATTTTACAGAAATAGATTGCATTGAAGCATGCATTCTTACTCTGTAGGGATCACCTCCACACAGATCTGACCTGTAAAACTATGGAGTCTTCACAGAGGTGGCGAACACTACCGACCCTCCTCCAGAAAAGTTATATAGTGCAAGTTTAATTAAAACAAACACTAGAAGCCCATAAATGAGACCACTACAAAACATTTATGTTGATGGAATGAGATAAATACAGTTTTCAATATGTTGTAGATCTGTGGGTTGTGTATGTCTGCAGACCATTTTATTAATGTACTGTTGCCAACATGTCTCAATGTTAAGTTGAAGATTCTTGTGGGAGTTAGATTTGTTCCTCTTTTTTTAGCTTCCGTGTCCCTGAGTAACCCTGCTGTTTGCACCCACACCAGATCTGTCCACTGACTTATTTCACCCATTTGCCCCTAATTTACTTTTACTGTTTCAAAACTTCCTATCTCTTTCAGTATTTTTTTTTTCTCACTTTGCCTCTTTAATATTCTTTTTGTGGTAAATGCTGCTTCTGCTTTCATGCACAAAGAAAGGAACTGGAAAAAAAATCTTTGTATAACTCACTTTCAAGAAACAAATAATACAGCGTGGTGCAGCTTGTATTAGGTGTGACCATGTTTATTGAATTTTGTTTCATCCCCTCTCAGACCTTTTGTGTTGTGCCTCTGCATAAATTTTGCTTTGTACGTGTCTGCTGTGGCTCATCAGAAATCAGGTACAACCCAGGTCTGGTCCTAGAAAAATATATTAACCTGGGTACTGGTTCTCATTCAATATACTGTTATAATGTCAGTCTGCTGTTCCAAATGGTTTTAGTTTTTAAAGGGCCCGTATTACTCTATTGTCTTTTTATGGTATAATATGGTTTCCTCATCAAAACTATACCTGGAGTTGTGATTTGTTTAATTCACACATGTTTAACACACAAATCCTGCATATTTAGACTGAGTTCTTCTCTCAAACAAAAAACACTGTGCCACCTCATGATGTCATGTGGCAATACAGGAAGTCCTCCACTGTGTTTTTTAACTCCATACACCTTCACTAGAATCCTTTGAACTATTTCAACCCTGGAATTGTCAGTCTCTACAGAACAAAAGGTAAAAGGTTGTTAAATTGAGATGTAGACAGACTAATAATAAAGGATTTCTCAAACACAGCTTGAGGTATGTTTTTGATGAGGTAAAAACATTTTAACATGACCTAAAGCTCACAACTTAACTTTATATAGAGGTCAATAAAATGCAGTTACTTTCTATTGACATCAAATGTTTTAGCTTCCTTAACTCAAGTTCCCACTCCATTTGAGTACATGATTCTTGCCACCATCATCGCAAACTGCATCGTCTTGGCTTTGGAACAACACCTGCCTGGAGAGGACAAGACCCCCATGTCCAAAAGACTGGTGAGATAGGCTTTATTAAGAACTGGCATTTACAGTCTTTATTACAATATTTAATCACCATTTTTAATTTTCTTTTCTTTTTAAAATTTTTTTTTATTAGGAGAAAACAGAGCCATACTTCATTGGGATGTTTTGCTTCGAGGCTGGAATAAAGATCATTGCTTTGGGCTTTGTTTTCCATAAAGGCTCATACCTCAGGAACGGATGGAACGTCATGGATTTCATCGTGGTCTTCAGTGGGTAAGTTGACTAAACTCATGCTTGGAAGTACATTTGTATGGGAGTGGTGGAACTACTGATGTTTCTTTTGTAATTATAAAAGTTCTCTAAATGAATAATAAGAGAGTATAAGAGGTGTTTTTATGTTTTAGTAAAGTCAAGACAACAGCTTCAACCATTTTCCAAATCAAGCAGAATTGTCCTTTTGATTTATAATTATTGGAGGTTTAACTAGCAGATATACACAGATTCACTGTGTAACGTTTTGGTTGGGGGTTCGTCATCTTCTTCTTTCTAGTGATATGTCATTGCTCTGCTTACAATGTTCCACAATACAACATTAAATAGATCTACCTTACATTTATTCAATAACAAGTGGTTTGCCTCTCGACAAAGCAATAACATCTCCAATAAAAAAAGCAACTGGCCAATGCTCCACCAGAAAAGTTATAATTTAAAATAAAAGATTGCTATATCTATCTATTCTACATATTAATTATGTGTTTTTTATGATAAACTAAATATATTAAGAGTTTATTTTGAGAATGCATTTTTACTTTAAAAAGTGTGGCTATATTAAACCACTATAGTGTAGTACTTGCACTATGCTGTTCTCCATATGTTAGTGGAAAGAGGACATGACATTAAAGTGCTTTTTCAGCAGAAGGTTAGAGCATTGAGCAAGAGGAGAAATATTTACAGTATCAAAGACTTTACACAACATGATTCAGTTTTATACATTTCAAATTCATTTCTCGCACACATTGACACAGCTGAAATAATAATCGATTCACAACATAGCACTACAAAGGATGGCTTCTTAGAAAATTCGACGAGATCCTAGCTCTTTTATTATTGATGAGCGAGCTCCCTCACCCAGCGGGAAAGTGGAGAGAAGGGGAAGAGGAGCAATGGGAAAAGGACGATGTATTGACAATGACTGAGACCAGAACAACCCAACGGTGACAGTAGTGAGGAAAGAAAGGATCCTGTTAAACCTCTATTATGAAGTAAATACAGTTAGTGAGACACACTGTTGATCATTCTGCCTTTAGGGCAAATGTGTCTTGTGTAGGACTAAACCATTTCATCCAATTGCAATTTTCCTAACAACCATTATAATTGGATTTGGATTTTAATAAAAAAGTTTAAGTTATGTTAAGTCCACAAACCTAAAATACAATATCTTACAGTCATTCAAGTAATTGTGTTTTTATTACTCAAAAATACTATTCTTACTACACTATTCTTACTGAGAGTGGACTTGTCTTCTCCACAGATCTGGCCTGTAACATGGCCTGTTGGTGTCACCTGCTTATCTACATGGAGATCATTTCATTTTTGTTCTGATGTATCAAAGACATAGGGTTTTGAACAGTCAAGACATCTCCTCCCGTGTCACAGTCATATGCTTTGGTAGCTGAAAAAATAGACTTAGATTTTTTGGATAGCCAAGGTGAATTAAACTGCAGATATATCATTTCATGTTTTGTACAGTCCACGTAAAGTAGAATTTAATGAAAACCTTCCTTGTTCATGGAGCCTCATTTGGTCTCTCTCAGAGCTCACCTAAAGGCGGGATGTGAGGACTGTAACCCTGTTATAGTCTGAGTGAGGATGATGAGATGGCCTGATCATATTAGATGAGTAACCAGCTCTGTCTTTCACTTAGTAATTAAGAGATCACCGGGGTCACACAGAGTGCTAGCAGCAGGTAAACTCACTGGCACATCGAAAAAAACAAAAAACAACATGAAAAATACAGTGTAAAATACAATAAATAATATTATTTATTTATTTCAAAATATCTCTTGCCATGACAACAGTCCTCACTTTACACAGAGGCCTGGGGATTACAAAATTTTCCAGTTAGTGGTGTTGCATGAAAATGTGGAACAGAAAACCTCCATTCCTATCTTTAGTTTTCACTTTGGGGATGGTCAGTAAAAAGTAGAACAGCGAAAAGCTGTGTAGTCTTGCCAAGAAATAAAGCTGGTTTGCAATAAATGTTCATAGTAAATATTTAGCTTATTTTCTTTTTTTTTTTTTTTTTTTACAAAACTTATCTTGTGCAAAATTTGCTAGTGTTTATCTTATGAAAATGATGCTTTACCTGGAATGTTCTTTTGTTCGATTACAGGCATTTTACTGCCAAAAAAATAAATACTTGGTTTGGTCATCTGCTTGTCATAGATATGTCATTTTGGCAACCCAAAAATGTTCTGGAGCCTACACCTAAGAAAGGAAGTAAATAAGCAAGAGGGCTTTTTCATAATTCTCAGTTTCTCATTTTGATGTTTAATTGGTTCTGGTAGCTCTGATGGTTTTGGAATGTGCTCTCTTTGTGCACACACAAAAGCCACAGCCAGACACAAGACACAGGCACAGTTTTTGCTCATCCCTGTCCACACGTCGCTAAAGAATAGTGTGAGTGAAATAGTGTCAGTGTGTCTTCACCTCTTTGTCTGATACAACAATTTGCTCCAGTCAACAATATAATATAATCATTGGCTGTGGAAATGGGTGCCAGCCAGAATATAGATATATATGGACTAAAGAGAGAAGCACCACTGAGGAAATAAGGAACATGCCTGAAGCGTATTCGTACACACTAATTGGCACCATTTTACTGGCAAGCCCTTCATTAGACTGGCAACAGTTGGCAGCAGGCGACACCCACCAACTGCGTGTGTCACCATTATGTACACGACACTCAGAAAGGCAATGCATCCGAAAGGGCAGGGAAAAATCGAGTCTGTGGACACAAAAAGAAGTCCCCAAACCTTTCATTCTCAGCATGATTACTTGAGGGAAATTTGTGCTAAATGTGTTATCTGGATGCCAAAGCAGCTCCAACAGCAGGTGGTGTGAGTGGAATTGATCTAGAAAAAGTGTAGAGTGGCTATTGATTTAGTGGAGTGAAAAACATGGGGAGAAGTGTGGACCACAAACGAAAGCTTAGACAGAGTACATGCAAAAAGGTGCATTCTGTGAGTGCCTCAATAGAAATAACAGACTCACACTAACATTTCACTAACTGTGTCTGTGACTTTATAATAGTGTTGTATTCCCAGATTCAAATCACACAATTTAATACATATTTCATATCTCTACTGAGTGTTTGTAAGTCTTACTGATGTAGCATTGATGTAGCAATAGATTAGTATTACGAAAACATACACTTTGGCCAGCCACTGTTATGTTATATGATATGAATACTTTTTAGTTAGGCTTCGACCATAACATACCACTCATGATGATAGACTGGTTTGCTTTTGGATAAATATAAAATGTCATTATCATCATATAGTTGTATGTGCATAGTTGATTTTCCTTTCAGTTGCAAGGGGAGGTAGACAGAGATCGCCTCTAATTGCCACTACACTGAAGCCTAGAGCAGCTTAAACACCGTGAAGGCTCTACAAATGTAAAAAAAAATAACAGTGGTGAAAGGTTTTGAAGAGTGAAAACAGAAGTTCTAACTATATCTTAATTTGGTCTATTGTTATTTCTTCACTTACATAATTATTGCACATGTTCTCTTTTATATGATATCAGTTGTAGCATATATTGACATGCTATTGTTTGTTTTCAAGATAAAGCAAGTTCATTCTTCAACCTAACTGATGTGTTGAAAGAGCCACTTTCCAACTTTGCTACTCAGTGTGGAACCAGTTTACTTTGCTTTAATATTTCTTTTAAATTCATATTCATACACTGTATATACCCTACCCCAAAATGAGTTATAATGTTACATCATCCAGAGGCAGTTTATTCAATGCATGTTTTATGTATTTATCTTCATCATGTTTCTTTTTAAAGGGACCAGACAAATTACCAATTTACCATTAAACAGAAATTGAATAAAGACAAGTTCTGGTGCTTTCAGAAATATAAGAAAGACATTTTGAGTGATGTCTTTATAATATTGAACTAATCTTGATCTTATAACACAGACTAAACAGTCTCATCCACTTATAGTTTTCATCTGTCTTCAGATCGATTGATGAGTTCAGGCATGGCAGGAGGGCGCTGTCCCTCTGAGCTGTCGTCTTGACAACAGATAACCCTGCCCCCAGCCAGGCGTCTGTGCTCTGGTCCTGTAGACCTCTGGGTTAAAGCTCAAGTTCATTTTTGGATTAGATCACAAACTGTCAAAATTATTCATATTTAGATAAATGTGTCTGATATTTATGGTCACTTGTGAGCATGTAACATACTGTGAGAGGGGAGTAGCTGAATATAAAATTATTTAGCTTAATTGAAATGAAGAGAATATTGATAGTCTGACCAAAACACTGTATCACAATTTTTTCAGTCAAGACACATTTACCACAGCTCAAATTATTGTTGAGATGTTGAAATTACATGTTTCACTGTTGGAGGCTCAGCGGGTTGCAGTCAGGCTGTGCACAGCAGACTGTGTGTCAGACTTTATTTCATGAATTGAGTCATTAACACCAAAGATACTTATGGGCCCTGATGCTTTTGCTAGGGTTTTATGATACTTATTGTTTTGCCGAAACTTGCTTCATGCTTATGTAACTATAAACCACCCAAAATAGTTCTCCTTTTGGGTTACTAAATTTGGTTCATGAGATAAAACTCCCTTGCTCAACAGTGTCAAACCAGTCCCTTTAGCTGAATATTTTCCAATATTCCCCTGGGAATATTTCTCCTCTCACTTAACACAGTGATGTGCAGATGCCAGAGGACTTACCCAGGCATTCCAGTTTCTCTCTTCAGGTCGAGTGAATAGGTCAAAGGCTACTTCTTAAGATAAGCTTTTAACCCATCACACCTTCCAGTTCACCTGGTTCAGAGACTCTAGAGGCTCTAGGTCCACATTAAAGGTACCAGTCTAAATCTGGGCACAATGAATATTATATTGTTCCAGGGAAAGAGGCAAAGAATCAACACCTCTATTAACACCTCTATATATTTATACATGCATTTATTATAGAGTACCAAAGAAAAATGTTTACAGTTTGCAGATAGTAAAAAGTAACACATCTATTATC